TGCAGCTCCGTGAAATTGAGAAGAGCCACAAATCTGTCAAAGGCAGAGCCACAGCCAGAGATTCAGAGGAGACAGCTAATGGCAACTCCAAAAATTCCACCCAGCTCCAACTCCCCAAAGAAGGTAAATTCTATTTCATGATGGTTGCTTTTTACAAGGCTACCTGGGAAAGTATAAAGAGCATAGGCTGTGGAATCAGATGGATTTGGGATTGAAATCAGACATCTGACCGTATGAAGTCGGGCAGATTAACATAAGAGCAATCATAGCGCCGACCTCGTGGGATGGTGCAGATGAAATGAGATTATGCCTGTGATGTGCTTCACAGACTTCCTGGCATAGAGAAAGAACTAATGAATGTAAGCTGGTAGGAGGAGGAGGAGGAGCTGTAAAATGGGGGAAATACCAGGGATGTCTCCCCCATTCTATCCCCTGAGTCTCTCACTACATTTTCTAGGGTGACAGTTCCTTCTGTTCTTCGTTATTCTGTCTTCGTTTCTTGGATGATTTTGTCTTGTCTTCACTTTCCCTCCTGAGTCTGTCATTTCCCACATCATCTGCTCTTAATGTCTGGCTACTTAACCTGATGGAGGAGCACGATGGGTGTCCCACCCAGATCCCTTTAAGATGCTTGGAGGTTGGCTGACATGACTCGCAGCTGCCAGGGATGGAGGAGGTGTTTGTTTTCCACGTTGTTTTGAGTGTTTTCTTTGGAAAGAGACACGGGGAGATTTGCATCTGGGAGCCTCTACTCCCACCAGAACTAGTGTGTATTCTCTGAAAGAAGAGCAGGGCTGGAATAGCTGGAATAACAGGGTGAGAAAAGGCTGCATACGTTCCAAAGACGGTGTCACCAAGCTTCAAAGGGGAGTAGTCACAGACCACCTCTCTCCACCTTAGGAGTGAGGAGGGATCAAACTGAAAGAGACCAACCATCTCTGAGCAGATCCCGTCTTCCAAGGATTGCTCCTGTGTTAAAATTTAACAGAGTCAGTATCCTGTAATGTTGGCCTTGGATGAGGCTGTTGAATGAGATGCACAAGAAAAGGCTGGTAGTTTAGGAGTTAGACTTTTTAGTGCAGAAATTACTTATCACTGATTTGATGCCTTTACAAGACATCACAAGACTCTAGGAAACAGAACCAAGAAGAATTTAAGCCCATAGCACTAATTCCCTGAGATCCAGGAGTGCAGAAAGTGACTGGGGAGGCAGATTAGGAGAAACAAGGGGACCTGTGTGCAGACCTTTGTTGATCCTGGGATGGTACTGAAATAAACCACAGACAAGTGGATGTAGCCAAAAGAGGACAGGAGGTCTGTGTTAACACAGAACCTACTCCCGATGCGTCTCCAAAACATATGGAAGGCTTTTTAAAGCCACAGATGCTCTTGTCAGTAAGATCAGCTGCAGTCCAGCCATCGATGCCCTGAAAGACTGGTTCAGAGAGGAAAACCACTTAGTGTGGAGCTGAGGAAAATGTTTGAAATCACCTAATCACCTAGTTTTTCCCTATGGGGCAGGAAATGGAAAAAAGGTGATATTTTGTTGTAATATCACCAACAGAAACAAGATCAAAAATGAAATGGACATGTTTGGACACTGATGGAAGGGAAAAAAAATAGGTTTATAAAACATTTTCTCTGAGAAACCAGGAAACTTGCATTGGTTTGACAGTGGTCCATTGGTGTCCCCAGAGTCCCAGCATCCCTGTCTACTGCACTCACTCCTGTCCCTCCTCTTTGCTGGCTGCTGGTCTAAAGTTTGCCCCTCTCCAACTCTGAATGTTTGTTACAGATGTAAAGCTCTTTCCTTCGATTGTATGCTGATGAATCACCATTGCGGTATTTGATTTTTAAAGCAATGAAAGCGTATCTGAACACGTCGGTGGGACTAGGGTGTGGGGGAGTGCTGAGGAAGGTGGTCAGCCTTTAACCTAGAAAACAACAGCAGCCTCTATTCCTGCCCTCATTTGTCTTCTCTTTCTTGAAGTATTCCCTAGAATGACACCAGCTGCTGTAACAGAAAGGCCTAAGACAGCTCATGGCTCAAACACAATACAAATGTACTCCTCGCTCAGCGTAAGGTCCAAATATGTTTCCACCTGATGGCTACTTTCTCCTCAAGGGATGATGTGGGGAGCCCTGGCTCTGTCCATCCTGTGACGGCACCTGCATCGAGCTGGGACGGGGAGGAGCCTAGAGGACACACATGGACCTGGTGCACATCAAAGCCTGGACTTTGGCCACAGATCACACCATCCACAATGGAAACTTACTCCATTTCTGTGGCCCAGGAACTGGGTTTGGTGAAGAACAAGCCAGGAATTGCCCCCAACTTGGAGTGAGGGGAGGAAGGAAACAGTGAGTGAAAGAGCTGGAAATGGATCTGAGTTCCAGGAGCACTGTCCTGGGGTTGATCCAAACAGCTTCCACAAGCCTTCCTCTCGTCATATCTGACCCTGGTAGCTGCCTGTGAGGCTGTTGTTATTATTGCTCCAATTTTATTCTCAAGAAAAACCAGGCTTAGAGAATCTAGCCTAAGAGCAGCATTCAAAGTCTAGTTCTCCAGCCAGCAGATCCTACTCGTCCAACACGTCTGTTTATGCCAAAGTTAGGTCAAAGTGCCCCTAGATGCCTGAGGGTGATCCCTTCTCACATCTCACATCTCACATCACCAGATCGGACTGAAATCTACCTACAGCACAGGGCAGCTCCAGAGAGGTCCAAGTCCATACCAGGAAGCTGTAGGGAAGCCTTGCACATCCTCATTCTTGTCTTGTTCATTTTCCAGGGACCATGCGTCACTCTGCCAGCCAAAGCCAGACCCTCAACCAGAAGGCACAGGGCCCTGGGGCCTCCAGTTCTGCGGGCAAGGCTGTGCCGCCCGCCTCTCAGCACCTTCCTATATCTCGGCCCCCTGGCGCCAGACCAGGCTCTGGCCAAGCCCGGCCTCAGGCTCATCCTTGGAGGTCAGCCTCTGGAAAGAGTGCTCAGAGACCTCGCCACTGACCACGGGGACTGGCAGAAGCCGCGTCCTGGGGTTAATCCTCAGGCCCCATCGGCTCACAGCCCCCAGTCGTTCTCTCTTCCTCTCTTCTCTCATCGAATGTGGGAACTTTGATTACTCGATCTCAGGCCTTGTTGGCTACCAAAACAGAAGGACCATGGCTTCATCCACCCTTTAGGAGGGCGGGGCCTCCCCAGTTCCTGGCTCAGGCGGCTTGGACCTGCACTCACAGCAGTTTCCCTCGGCTCCAGACTTTGCGGGGAGGAGCTGGGCCGGGCCCACCATCATAGGCTTTTCTCACGGAGCTCATGTTGGGACCCAGGCTTCTGCCAGCGCCACCTACTGGGCAAGGCTTGGTGGCTCCTGGGACCCTCAAGACGCAGGAAGCTTCCAGCGAGCTAGGAAGCTGGGTAGAGGAGGAGGGCATAAGTGAGAGGAGGGGTGTTGATGTAGGGTGCTTTACAGCTGGGATGCATCGTGAGAAAACAGTCTAAAGGTTCCCTTCATCCCTGCATTCTCGGGTTTGACCTTCCAGCTCATTCCATCTTAAAGCTTCGCTATTCAGCCTGTCCAGGGGTCATCAGGCATGAAAACCATTCTTCTTTCCTTCCTTCCTTCCTCTCTTTCTTTCTTTCCTCAACTCACCTAAGAATGACTTGAACTAGAAAGTCTATTTAACAGTTTCTCCAGAGAAATGTAACTGGTATCTTACTGGAATTACCCGAATCTGTCTGTGCATTCCGTACTGGAGGGAAATGAAACAGACCCCGAATCTTACCTGTCAGAGGCAGTTTTACAGGCTGATCTTTCATTTCTAATAACCTACACGCTCAATGTCCATAAGGAGCTCCACTGCACAGAGTCGTGTAGGTAGGAACACATTTCTAGTGAAGATCAAGGGGACGCCTGATCGCCCTGTGACTCACACACTCACAAAAACTGGAAGTGATGCACCAGCCAGTAGGCGGACCTGGGCAGGGTACCAAGTGCATCCATGATACTGGTGATCCTCGACTCACATAGGCTTTGTAGAGCCCCAGCCAAAGCTGGCGCACCAAAGTTCCACATGCTCTAGAAGGCACAAGAAGGAATAAACCCACCACACAGAAAGGAACATTAGTCTCTCTCGACTCCAGCAGAAAGTGGAGGAGAAAGTCTCCCTTGAGAACTTATATCCACAAGGCAGCCCTCACACAGAGGGTCTAAGTCCCCATGCCAGCTGTGTGTTTAAAAAAACTCAAATGGAAAATTTTAAGTGATCTTAAGTTAATAGTGCCTCCAAGAAAAGGGGATGGGTACAAAGAAACAAAAACCAGCCCAACAAGTAGAAAGCATATAAGACAACAGAAATAAATCAAAATATATCAAGAATCAAAATAAATGCAAATGGACCAAACCCTCCAGACAGAAGACAAAAATTATCAGATGGATATTTTTAAATTCCATGTGCTATTTCCAAAGGATACATTTAAAACCTAAGGATAGGGTGTGTATGGACTTTACCCCTTTTGGGTCCAGGAAATACAGTCTTCAAGGGCAAAATCACCAGGTGTGTGAGTGTAAGTTGGAATTGATTTTGAGTGCTGAGGATTCCTACTAAAGACAGCTGTCTGCAGTCTTGTGCCAGACTTGTGGAAAATGTAAAGAAAAGCCCAAGATCGTAGCTGGGCAGGTGAGGTATCTAGAGCGTGCCCGATCTCTCTACCGCTGACTGTGTCTGGAGAATGAGCCATATAAACCTAACCTCCAAATTCTATTGTGAAGTTTCAACAAGCATCTGACGCACGTGAGACTAAGTGCCACGCATTAGGCTGACTGCTCAGTGAGTAACAGATGTCAGCACAGACATCCTCAGGCTCGGCACTGAATGAACAAAGCTTTTCTCCTGGACTCCTGAATGATCTTCCTAGAATGCTTCCCATTCTTGCCTCTATCTAAAGCAATGTTGCATATATGTGTAACTCATTACCAAAGAATGTTGCAGGGTTTCTTTGGCCTAGGAATTGCTAGAAGCCTCTGAAATTTGATGTGAAAAATTCGCATCAAATGAGTACAGCGCCGCCATCTTGTGGTTGCTTCATGCAACTTCCTTTCCTGACGCTCTCCAGTCCCTGGTACATTAAACCGCACATTCACTTCCGCAGTAAAAACTCTGGGTTAATTTACACCAGAATGACACAGTGAGCCATAGGCTGCGCTAAGTAAAAGAGGAATGGATGCTGTAGTGTGTTGTCCTTCCCAATGGATGAACACAGAGAAAGAAAAGGCCCACGTGACTTTGCAAGGCTGGAGCCTGGAGCACCCCCAGGAAACCCGCAACTCCCGGTCGACTTGCTGCCCAGGCAGGACATCTTCCCAGCTGGAATTTGTTGGGAAATCTGTCTTGCATATCACCTTCCAACTACTCTCCAATCAAACACTGCTTTATGGAGAACGAGAGTCTCACCAGACCCAAGCCATTCATCCAGACTTTGTTCAATGTTCGAGGTCTTACCTACAGCCTTTAGTCTTGTGACCGACTAGTGACCAGGGTGAGTCTTACGTCTCTAGCAGTTTCTTCTCTTCTTTCTGACATTTGCTTCCACTAACTTTCCATCCTCCATCTCCAAATGACCTACACATCTTTCTATGAATACCTAAACTCCCTTCCAGCCATGAAGTCTTTCTCGGGAACCCTGGCCCGGACTGCTTCTGGTCAGCCTCTCACACTGCTGCACTTCCCCACTTCATTATTACAGTCTCTGAAGTAAGAGGTCATGGGTTAGTAGTAGCACTGCTTTTATTATCCTCCCAGGTCCCTGCATTGCTTATCCTCTTGCTTAAGATCTCTGCCCAAAATGTTGCCTCCTCACTGCCAGCCTCTGTAAAACAATGCAACATTCTTTAACACTTACAAACATTTGATGCATGGCATATTTTCTTGATTTTTGTCTCCCCCTGGGATGTAAACTCCATGTGGGTAGGGACTTAGTTTTGTTTATTACTGTATCCCCAGCACCTAAAAAGATATGTAGCATGCAATAGGTACACAAAAACTTTTTTTAAGTGAACGGAAAAACTGATTGATTCTGTAGCTTCTTGAACACCGACAGCTATTGCTAACTCCTCATCTGCAGATGTTAGACCACACAGTCTCCCAAGGTGCCCACTAACTCAAAACTTGCCTGTGTTCTCAGAGTCCCCAGAAAAAGACCAGCTGGATTGCACAGCTTAGTCTGGGTTCTGAGAAGGTGAATAGATGTAGCTCTGGGCTCATTTCTCTGCTCACTCCTCCCGCCACCCGCCACCACTCCAATCTTACTGTTAGTGAAGTGTCTGCAGCCTAAAATGAGTCTCCTGGGTCCAATACATGTAGAGTGATGCCAGCTCTCAGGGCCACACCAGCACTTACAGAACTAGGCTGAAGCTGACAGAAGCCGGAACAATACAACCACAGTAGGAAATCTGAGGTTAGGAAGCCCAACAGCTCGGGTACCAAAAATTGTTCTGATCAACAGCATCTTGCCTCCTCATCCAAAAAGTAAGTAATGTCCTCACCAGTGCAACATCAGATGCAACCATGCAGTGATGGGTGGCTGGGGTTTTTCGAAGAGAAAGAGGAGGAAATAACGCTTAGAAAGCCGCAATGGAACGCAAAGAGGACTTCAGCCTTTAATATCCATCTGAACAATGTATGGGTCATAGAAGCAATCATAATTGAAACTAGAATAAATTTGGAATTGAATTATCATGAAAATACTGCATATCAAAATTTGCAGAATACAACTAGAACAGCACTTAGAGGGAAACGCATATTGAAGAAGAAAAGTTTCAATGAGCCAAACATCCATATTAAGAAATGAAACAGAGAACAGCAAAATAAAGCCAAACAAGTAAAAGGAAGGAAATAATAAATATAAGAGCAAAAACTAATTAAAAAGAAAATAAACATACAACAGAGACAATCAACAAAATCAAAAGTTCATTGTTTGAAAAGGTAAGATTAAATATTTTCTGACAAGACTGATGAACTAAAAAAGAAGATAAAAATAAATATTAAGGATAAAAAGATCACAACTTTAGATGCTGCAGGAAACATAATGTTCTCCAGTTCAAATTTACATTTTAGACTTTGTCGGCTACATATAGCCTTTGTTACATACTATTTTTTTAAATCCTTTAAAAATATGAAAATCGTTCTTGGCTCTTGGGCCCTACAAAAACAAGCCATAGGTCAGATTTGGTCCCAGGGTCATAGTTTGGCTGACTCCTGCTCTAGGGGTGGGACACTCAGCCCAGTGCAATGGTCATACAGCACAGGAAAGCTAATCCATCATTCATGAGGGAAGGGCTAGGATCAAAGTTGCTCTGGTAATGAGCCTGGTCCTCCCTGCCTGTATGTGGCAGGCAGGTGATCCCAACAACCATGCAGTGAGGAAATACACGGTGTCACCTGGCATGGAACCACTAAAGGCCTGAAGTAAGGAGACCCAGAGCTCAGAGATTTTGAACATCTGGCTGAGATTAGTGTGTCTCAAAGGATAGAGTGCACAGGCCCAGGGGCCAGTCCCCAGCAGCATTTTACAGCAGGGCTTGATGGGGTCCCAAGACACAGCACAGGAATCTGAGCACAAAGAACTGAGATGTCCCCCCTTTTCCCTCAGCCAGACTATGAGAGTGCTCTCACAAACCCAGTGCCATCTGGAAAAGAGCTGGAGAGAGGACATCTGAAAGGCTCTTGGCAACACTGTTTAAATCAGAAAACAAACGAGATAGCAATCATTGGCAAGTTTACACAATGAACATATTTTCCAGGTTCTGATGTTTAATCAGTAAACTGTCCTTCTACTGCTACTAGAAGTTGGAAAGTGGAATGCATAACTGATTTACCATGTGAAACTCAACTGTTTAGAGATGCCCTGTCTACATGTGTAAGTTAATGGCTAAAGTGATAGAAATGAATCAGAGCAGCTGGATGTATAAAAAAATGGGGTTTTAGTAGACTCTAGGGGAGGTGATGGGAGAACTGGGACTCAACCGATTAATAAGTAAAATGAAATGTTGTCGTGCTGTTTACTGATAAAGGGGACAAAAGAGCAAGATGAAAGTCCACTAACATTTGTTGAGTTCCTACTACATGCCAGGTACCACACCTGCGTCACATCTGGCCTCTAGTAGACGTTCAGTACAATGTTTACTGAAGGGATGAATGGCTCCTCCATCTTCATTCAGCAAAAGAAAGTTCAGAAAGGTTGGGTGATTGACTTAAGGTCACACGGTAAGTAGCAGCGCTGGAGTCTGAACCCAGTTTTGCTGACTGAGTAATATCTACTGCTGCTTAACAATGCATCCCAAAACTCAGTGAAGCTACCAAATAGCTCAAAGGGAAGGGAGGTATGGTCTTTGACATCACATGCCGCAGAGATGCCCATCCAGGTCAGGATTAGGAAGCATCAGGGGAGACAGTTTAGTAAAGAGAGGGAGGTAAGGAAGCTGAAGAAATATTTTTAATGTTCATGCCAATGTCTGCATCTAATCATAAGCCTTTCTGTCTTGCTAGCTGAAGTGCACTTTTCTTTAGCCACTTAAGTTAGCGAACTGCTTTAGCACAGTTCCTTTATAACCAGAGGACTCAAATCTATCCAAAATATGACTGTGGTCAACTTTGAGCTCAGTGACTCTCAGGCTTTTTCTATCTAATCCCCAGTAACGTGCATTTAAATAACATTTATATGCTAAATATATTTGTACCTGTCTATGTGTATGTTTATACATATGTATACGTATGAATGTTGAACCGAGACAAAAGTTTTACAAATCAATACTCCTTATTCTATGTAACATACTATTATTTCCTATATTCTTTCAACCTACTTTTTTTTAATGCTGGCCAGTAATGTCTAAGTTAATTCTGCAATTCATTAATGGATTCCAACTTCTCCTTTGAAACCCCCTACTGCAGGAGATAAACACCTGTAACCCCAGGAATATTTAGGATTAAGTATAGAAATAATGAGGTAAATCAAAGTCACAGCATCAATATTTTCCATTACATTTCCAAAACTTTTATTTAATTTGGCATTTATAATGTTTCGGAAAATTTAACATACTGATGTAGTAATTTTGGAACTTCATTCCAAAACGTAAAAAGGAGTAACTGATTCCGACTCATCATTGTAAGTGGGTACATGTAATAAAATTTAAGCACATTTGTAAGGAATATTGAGACTGAGACTTTAAGATTAATCAACCAATATTTTAAAATTTAACCTATTAGGTTTTAAGAGTGAGCTCAGTATTTGGATTTTGTCAAGTAGGTGAACTGCTTAAGAAGAAAATATCTTAAATTTATAAATGCACTTCAGCTATGGGAATTTACATTATAAAAATCCCCTTAAAATATCTTTAAATTTACTAGCATATATACTATTTGTGGGTAACCAGGTTTTGTTTATTACTATAACTCCACCATTAATTTTTATAGCAAAATTAATTTCAAAATAGTCGCCTGAGTGTCCAAAGCCGCCCCCGAGGACAGGGAAGCAGCTCCAGTTCACTCAGAACTAACCGGCGTTAAGAATTCAGGGCCCTTCCCCAGGGCCAGCAACACGTGGCCCGGCAAATGGAGCAGGATTCTGTCCAAGCAGGGGAACGAGAAACCGACCTAGAAGGAAGTGGGGTCGTCCTTCTTTCCTACTTCATCACCTTCCTCCCTCATTTAAAGTAAGTAAAAATATAACTTAAAAGCACAGAGCCAGTCACGAGGAATCACATTGCATCAGGGTCTGCCCAGCGCGCCCCAGGCCCCGCTTCCGCCCGGGTGAGGAAGGGAGGGCGTCCAGACCCCGGGCTCCGGAGAGGGATGACCACGAGCAGCAGGTGGGGAGGAAGGGGTCCTGGGGCGTGGGGTGCAGGGCGGGCACGGGTCGCGAGGTCCGCGGCGCTGCGGCAAGCGGGCTCCGCAAGTTTCCGCTGGGAAAGGTCGCCGCGGCCCGCGCTGGGCCTCCCGCCCGGATTTCACCCAGCTCTGCTGCCTATAATTTATATGATGAAAACATGAAGGACTGGACAGTTATCCAGAAAAGTGCCTTTCCAAACCGTTTGGCTGCCTGCAGGGCCCGGCCCGGCCCGAGCGTCCAAGGTAACCGCGCCACAGCGGAGACCGGAAAAGGCCAGCCCGCCCGCGCTCGCGCCCCAGCCTCGGCCCCGCGGGCCGTACCACCCCGGCGGAACCCCCCACCGAGGCCCGGAAAGGTATCGTACCCCGGCTTCTGATTGGCCG